AACAGCACACATGTTCCATGAGTTTCTCATGTGAGCCGTTACTGCTGAATCAGCTTTCACCATGCAATAACTTGGTGCTTTTGACAGGATAAATCTACATGCAGCAGATAACGCCAATGTCTCCATCTCGGTTTGGCCCTTGTCTTGAGGGCTTGGCCACCACATTCCTCCATTACTCTTCATATAAAGAGCATGACAGTGGCTGGGAGGCCTGCCGTCATGCCTGAGGTTTTGTCCAGCCTGGGGAGATGCAACACTGGCCGTCAGAGTGAAACAAATTGTTTTTGGGGGTCCTCACCAATCTGCTGTAAAGCCCCTGTGCAGACAACCCCACGCACACCAAATCACCCAGCGCTGATTATTAGCCCTGATGTCTGTTTTTATTTGTTCTATTATTAAGTTTTTGTTCAGCCATCGCCGTGCATCCATTTTTAATTGCACCTCTTGGGGATGCAGCGATGATAGATGTTGAGCAGAATAGCTGAATAGGACTGACCGCTTATGTAAACTGAGGGGTTTTGTCAGTGAATATCTAGTGTATAGTCTCAAATTGAAACATACTTTGCAGACAAGATCAAAAAAAAAAAAAGCTTGCTTCAAAATTTTTATTTTTCATTGTTGAGCTTTTGTGTATTGGGCCTCTTTGCCCCTTCAGCTAGTATGTGGTTCTTTTCACTTTAATGGGTGTCAGGTACACTATAAAACAAGGGATTACATTTGATCCAGCTTCTTGAGTCAAAGTTAAACTAAGAATTTCATTAAAACAACACACAGTTAGACCATCAGTAACCCCCCCCCCCTCTATAATCTACCCAAACAGAGTTTAACAAACAGTTGATTTGAAATACAGAGCAAATTCCCTACAAGCATTTCAGCATGAATAAATAATGCAGTTACTGCTTTGCTGAGCTTGGAGAATGATATTTTTTGGTTGTCACCATTGCTGAGATTTTTATGTGAAGTGTTGAGGTCTATTCTACATGCCAATAACACATTTCCAAGTAAGTCAAATTAATATTTTTGTGTTGGCAATTAGCGCATTCTTCCAAATGAAATCTTTAGTTGCTCTGAAAAGTATTTATTTGTTTAACCTTTAATATATATATATATATATATATAAATATACTGTATATACCATTTAAAAGTTTGGGGTCGGTAAGATTTTATAAACAAAGTCTCTGCATTTATTTGATCAGAAATACAGTAAAACAGCAATATTATGAAATATTATTACAATTATATCTCATAAATAATTCTAATAAACTGGTTTGGTGTTCATGAAACATTTATTTTTATCATCAATGTTGAAAACATCTTCACATTTTTGTGGAAACTGTGATGCATTTTATTCATTTATTTGATTAATAGAAAGTTGAAAAGAACAACATTTATTTGAAACAGAAATCTCTTGATTAATGTCTTTACTGTCACTGTTGATCAATTCTTGCGGTATAAAACTTAATTTCTCTCAAGGACAGGTGCATATGTATATATAGTGTAAGAGAAACAGAGAAGAGGGACGGAGAGGGCAATTATTTCTCTATTTGCAGTTGCCATCTGTCATTGACCTTCACAGTCACACACTCTCCAGCCAGTAACCCTCAGTACAGCCCCATGTCCATCTGATGTCCATTTGGACTCAGCAGATAAAACACACAGGAAGCAGATGAGGGGAAATGAGCCCTTTAATAGAGGATCTTATAAAACAGGGAAAAACGCGAGAGAAACTCAATCACTCAAAGTCTTATTTAGATGATATTAGTGGAATTTAAAACACCACCTGCAGTGGCTTAAATTAGAAGTATGAAATATAGTTTTTAGCAGAGCTAAATTACAGTAGAAGTAGTTTAGAAGAGAATAAAATATAAAAATGACATGATCTAGAATGCTGATTGGTCAACAGTTTGTATTTTTTCCCCATACTATATGCTTAAATTAAAATGCACAGTGTTTAGTGTCCTTGAATAATTAGCATTAAAGGAAGAACCTGAAAACTTTCACAAAAATTTTTTTTTGACAGAATGTGATAAAACAGACTGATCCTGTCATATTCATCATTCTTGTGATATAGGTGATATGAGAAAGGTGTTTCATGGTCTCATTTAAATGATCTAACAGTGTAATTTTTATAAGCTGAATGTGCTGTTGAAAAAAGTGTGCATTTTCATTCAGTATGTGCCCTTCACCATAAACTTAAAGCACATTGTCGTGTGTGGATTCTAATGCATCCGCAGAGAGTTTGAATAACAGCCGTGATGTTCTGAAGTTCACCCATGTTAATCTCGCAGTGAGAATGCCCGCGTGCATTAGTCAAACAATGACCTTTATTCCGGTTTATAAACCGTGATCAGCGTCTGATCTCAGTTCCCCAAACTTCAACAAAAGCCGTACCTCTAAAGGCCTCGACACTGAAAGACAGAGTGCCGGGGAAGAGGGAGTGAGCGAGTTAGTGAGAGTGAAAAAGAGAACCACGCGCTCTTGTCTTTTCCAGTTTAGGGAGTCCAGATGGGAAGTCATTTTTTATTCGTCTTGAGGCAGCACTTCACATCTGCTGGCCCAGATGCCTAATGAATACGGAAGCAGGGCCGTGCTGTCGCCTCATTAATACTGCACTCGCACAGGGAACGGGGCCGGCCTGTACCCGCCATCCACCGCCGCCCCCCCCTCCCGCACTCCTCCCGGCCCCGGAGCCCGCTGGTGCAGAACCGCCGGCTCCCCGCTGGCTCCTCCGGGCCCGTGGCCGGCAGCTGGCGCCTCGCTGTAACAAAGCTGCCGTGCTTTGTTGGGCCTAATGTATCTCTGTGTTGTCACTTAAGGTCTTTATTGGTATTAATTGATAGGATCGACCCAAGTTTGTCTTTTGTGGTACTTTTTCTCTTCGCGGCGGTCACACGCGTGTGCTTTCGGGGCGTAGGAATCTATTCAAACAGGTGTCGCCGCGAGGAGCACGAAGCAGAGCGAGTTGGGAAGCTCAAAGCACATGTCTGTCAGATTTGACAGATTTAGCATTTTCCTCTGTGAATTAGAGATGTGTGCGTTAGACAGACGCCGAGGCTGGTTCCGTGACCTTTGCTTAATACGGCTGTTCAGTACTCTGGCTGTCGTTCAAGCCTGGGTGGGCAGAACACAAGAGATCAGAGTTAGTTACATATTCACTGGAACTCAGATGAGATGCCTTGACACCTCCAGTTCATTCGACACTAAAGTTTGGAGGCAAAATGTTGTAGGCCTACTCTCCAGGTACTGTCAGTCGAAGCAGTCTTTCGAAAAGAAAATAGATTTGGCACTGTACACTGTAAAAAAAAATTGAGTTGTAAATAAAGATTATTGGAGTACATTTTACAAGAAAATACTATTTCATTTTTTAATAAATTCCTATTAAGGTTCTCGCATGTTGCAGAGCAACGCATTCTCATCCCAAGTCATATACGACACTTTTGCCAATGCGTATACATCCAATGCACTTGGCACCCTTTAGCTTCAATATAACACACTTCGGTTATGGTAGGTTCAGGTCTTATGGTAGGTTAGACCTAGGAGGTGCCTTCTGCCAGCCCGTTCTCATCCCAAAGCGCCATATAAGATGCTTTTGCAAAAGCGTAAATATCCAACGCACATGGCACCCTTTAACGTGAAATGAGACGCAGATATATTTGGGCAGAAGGCGCCCCCTAGTGGTCTAACCCTTACCCTACACCATACCTAAACTTAACCATTAACCGAAGCGTCTCATTAGACGTTAAAGGGTGCCATGTGCGTTGGATATTTACGCTTTTGCAAAAGCGTCCTATATGGCGCTTTGGGATGAGCACGCGTTGCTTCTGCCCCATATATATCTGCATCTCATATTGACACATGCATTGGCAAAAGCGTCGTATATGACGCCTTGGGATGAGAACGGGCTGTGCAGACGGAAAAACACGATGGAAGCTTGTTTCCGCCACAAAATTAAAAAATATAAATGGTAATTGTGACTTTTTATCTCATAATTTTGACTTTTATCTTAGAATTGTGAGGTATATTTAGCAATTTTGACTTTATAAATTGCAATTGCAAATTTATATCTCAGAATTCTACGAAAAAACGTCAGAATTGTGAGATTTAACTGAATCCTGTTGCTCGATTTCCAATCGAATGATTCGTATGTTTCCAGCAAACACAGAACTTTCCCCTAACGTTCCCGAATGTTTTTTTTTTTGGGAACCAAACAAGAACGTTATAGGAACGTTCCATATAGGTTATTTTTAGGTTCCATTTTTATAACTTAAGGAGAATGTTTCGGGAATGTCCCCTTAACCTTAAGGGAAAGTTGTAGGAACCTTCTGGGAACCAAAAATTAACGCTCCCAGAACCTAAATCTGTTTGCTGGGTTATTTTTAGAGGATCAAAACCGGTTCTTTTAAGTGAACCAGAACAGAAATAATAGTGTTGGAATAATTTTACTATGCAAGCAGAAAGATTACAAGAAGAGTGCTATCATACTTAAGTTCAACGTTAATTATACAAAACTCTTTGACTGCAATTGACCAATCAGAATCAAGTATTGCAGAGAGCCATATTAAAAGCATTTTATTTCCCACAAGTTAATCTTAGAATTTTATACCATATAGAATATTCATTAGAAACACATTGTTTTAGAGGTATGACCATACATTTTCACAACTTTGTTTTGCCTCATTTCCTGTTAGGTGTGTGTTTAACCTAAAGTAATTGTATGCTCCCTAAGGAGGTCTCAGCAAGCACACTATCATAATTCTGACAGCTTACTCATATTACTCTCCTCTAATATGCAAACTGTGGTGAAACCAACCTAAAAGCCAAAGACATACAGGTACAGTGACTGAGGCGCTAATGTGTGAGAAAATTATCCCCATGTCTTTTAAGCATTGTCCCAAGATTACTCCAAAGGCAATTAAATCCCGACAGCAACAAAATGAACAAAACAAGCAAAGAACTAAATAAAAGGAAAGTTTATGTGACTGTGTTTGCATCTAATAAAGAGACAAGGGCTCAGGGAAGAGGCAGAGCCCTGCCAAAATGTACCGCTGCGGCCTCCGCCCCGCCCCTTCCTGTCCCTCGTTCTGATGGAATGCCTGGCACACTTCGCACTGGAGGAGCGATGAGCGGGCAAGATACAGACGATCGGCCCATGAGACGCAGAGCCGGGCTTACTGCTGGATGCATGTGGGGCCTGTCAGAACCAACCAGCCACCTGCCAGGCTCCGAGCGCCAGGATACAAAACCTTGAGAATGTGGCAGAAAACTAATCCATGGCTCTTCATTAGTGGGAATGGTCTTGTCTCAAAATATCCTCTGCCAGATAGAGAGAAAAAAAAAGGTTGAGATTGCTGAATGGATTTGTACTTTGTGATTTGTACTAATGTGATTATTCGAGAAAAAAGATGTTCTATATGGGATATGTATTTTATTCGTGATCTTCAACAGCTTTACTGGTTATTGTTTGATTTGAATTCAAATCGATTTATGCCTGGTTCAGATTACACGATTTTTTTGTCTGTTACGATAGTCACTGTGTCAGATTACGCGATTTTGACTCCTAAAATCTTGTCGTGTCGTGGACTAGACACATGTCAGACTACACGTTGACATCATGTTGCGCGTGATGTCATCGAGAAGGCAAAACTAGCAGCGAGTGACTTCCGGAAACGAACGTAAACAAACAATGGATGAAGCGGTGAGTGTTGTCTTGGCTGTCCTGTGTTCAGAAAAAAGTAAAAAAAGAACGAAAACTCGATAATGGACACGTTCCTGGATTGCTCGAAGAGGACAGTATGGGCTGTCAATCCTCCAAAGAGAACTTGAGGTAAAATAATGTTTTCTTATATATTTTTACGTCTAGTTTTAACGTTAGCACTATCTTCTCTCTTTCGTTTTGCCATTTTTGAAAGTTGTGTACGGAAAAGCTTCTGTGCTCCTATTGGTCAACCTCATACATGTGACGGAACCGCCGTGGACGACCGTTAAAAAAATTAAACATGCTAGTCTTTTTGTCGCGATGTTGTGAAGCATCGCAGGCACGACGTAGGTTGTCGCCCACTATGACACACTATACGAGATGATACGATCGAATCTTGCGTCCCGACGCCCGTTGTCGTTTACGAATCCCCACGACACCCTACGTCAAACGGATCGTGCCAAAATCGAGCTAAAATCGTGTAATCTGAACCAGGCATTCACTGCACTGCCACTTTTGGAGAACAAAATGTGTGCTGAATTGAGCTGGATAATGACATTATTGTCATCTGGGTGCTTATTGCTGAAATTTAATTAGTTTCATATTTGATTAATTTGACAACATTAACTGTTATTTTCCTGTTTATTAATGTGAAGCTGCTTTGAAAACAATCTGTATTGTACAAAGTGCTTTATAAATGATTAGACTCATTTGAAAAGAAAGAAAGAAAGAAAAGAAAATATGAAAAATATAAAATTACACTGTAAAAAGGGTTGCTGCCTTAAATTTTTTAAGTAGCCCACAATCAACTTGGATTTTGAAGTCATTTCATCTCATTTTCATTTACCTATTGTTATATAAAACAGTCATTTCGTTCATTTCGTTCGTTGAATTAACCAAATGACCTTGAACTGTTTGGTTCCCATTGAAGTCCATTATATGGAGAAAAATCCTGGAATGTTTTCATCAAAAACCTTAATTTCTTTTCGACTGAAGAAAGAATGATATGAATATCTTGAATGCCATTGGGGGTGAGTAAATTATCAGCAAAAGTTTTTTTTTTTTTTTTTTTTAAAGTGACCTACTCCTTTAACATATTTTGATAAATGTAAGAAATGTAAAAACACATGTTGTCATAACTTATTGATTATTTAATCGTTTACAGTGTACGTTAAATTCGACCAAAACTACTGCTCAGCTAAATATTTCATTGACCTTCCCACATATAAATGTATTAGGAAAACTAAAATGCATTGTGTTAAAATTAAACTATACATACATTTAATAATTATTATTTTATTGGCTTTGCAACATTAGCAGCTTTACAAAGTAGAAAATACATAAAAATTGTACTAAATCAGGCTTAACATTTATACAAAAGCAGGGGTCCCTGCTGCATCTCTATCCACAAAGGGTTCTAATGTTATGAGTGTTTGTAATAAAATAAAATAAAATAAAATATGAATATAATATGAAATAATATGAATAATAAGTCTTTGGTTAGATTTATTTGTCTTTATATGATGATTCAAAGGTGTTAAAGATAAAGGAATACGACTAAATAAAAACATCACAGGATGACTTTGTGATTCTGACATCAGGTTTTTTTTTTCTTCAATTTTAGTTTCTGGTTGCTGCAGTGGACTAAAAATCAAACTGTGTGTTTTTCTGAGTATGTGTGTGTGTGTGTGTGTGTGTTCTGAGTGTGTGTCCAACATGGGGCAACACAGCAACCTCTGCTGGCTAAAGACCATAACTGATATATGTGGATGTGTATGCACTGTGCAGGTGTGTGTTTTGCCATTTTGTGTGCGTACGGTTGTGTTAGCCAACTGGAAAGAGAACAAGCAGATATTTCATTTATAATGAATTGAATTAGAGTGAAGCCTTAATCTCAGATTTATATAATTCACATCTTTAATGCAACGGTTTAACACATGCCACAATGATGCCAAAATCGTTTCAGTTTTTGTTATATTTTGATACATTGAATTACTGTATCAAGATAAATACGTCACATTTGCTTATTAGATCCCATTTATACTTGAGATCAGATTTAGAAAGTCCCATATTAAGTGTTCTTATCTGTATTTTCTCATTATAGTTCCTCAATTATATGTTCAATTTGAAATGGTTAAATAAACATTAAGCAGGCAGTTTTGTACTTGAAATCCTTGTTGAAGCCAAAGTCAAATTGTGGATATCCCCTCTTGCTTCCCATTATAAAATTATATTTAGATCTTTTAGCAGCTTTCAGTGGGAAGCAGATGAACTTTCGATACAAGAATAGGATTCTGGGATTGAGCTGGTTTAGATCTCATTTTACTTTACAATATAATTGTAACTGTCAAAGGAACTGCATTACATCTCTGGGTGCTCAGGGTCTATGAGAGGTGTATTAAAGTCAAGATGCATTATAAATATCTGTCTTTTTGTCCTTTTGAATTGGGGCACTTGAGTTGGAGTGTGTTAATGCAGTAATGTATATAGACAGCACATTACCGTACACACATTGCTCTGATTAGATTGAAAGTGAAGGGTGCACGCTGTCTCCTTAAATTAACATTCTTTAAAATCAACAAATGAGAAATATTACAATACCATATTAATACTGCAAGCATGAAACCACTTACAGAAGGATCTGAGGTCACTGTCACAGTTGGGAATGAGTTTGCACGGAATGACAGTGGTATCAACTGTCAGCCTCACTGTGCACTGAGCATTAAGATGATTCTTGTTTGCGCTTTGTTGTTGCAAATGTTGTTTGATTTAGTCACTAGGCAACTCTTTGAATTCAATCCATTGCCGGATGCATCTGGATGTCACTGTATGATCATCTCAGAGAGTTTGTCATGTTTTTCAGATGCTGTTAGTACTGTACCAACACTTTGTGTGTTGCACTTTGAATCTACACTCTTCAGAATAAACTCAGCAAACAGGGAACAATTTATCATTAACATTTACGGTATTCATTTAGCTGACGCTTTCATCCAAAGCGACTTACAATTGCTATATATGTCAGAGGTTGCACGCCTCTGGAGCAACTAGGGGTTACGTGTCTTGCTCAGGGACACATTGGTGTCTCACAGTGGATTCGAACCCGGGTCTCTCACACCAAAGGGATGTGTCTTATCCACAGTGGATAAGACAATATTCATTATTGTATATTCATTCAAAGTCAAAATGTTAGCACAAAAACACTTATACAGCATTCATGGGAAGTTTCTTTACCTGAAAAGTTTTAGTTGTACATTTGTCTAATGTTTTTTTAACAAATGTTCAAGAACATTTAAAATAACATTCTCATAATTTTGCAAATTTTCCTTAAAGGAATAGTTCACACTAAAATGAAAGTTAGCCAAGTTATAATTTACTCACCCTGGTGTTGTTCTAATGCTGTTTGCCCTTCTTTCTTTCATGGACCACAAAAGGAGAATTTGTAAAAAGAAATTCCCGCTAGCACTCGTCCATATAATGGCAGTGAATAGCGACCAGCATCAAGCTTTCTTAAAAAGACACAAGTGTATCACTGAATGATCCCATGCGACACGTGCCATATATCCCAAGTGTTCTGGGGTTATACAGTATGATAAGGTTTAGTGAAAAGCCAACTGAAATTTAAAGGGTTAGTTCACCCAAAAATGAAAATTAAGTAATTAATCAGCGCAGTCTCATCCCAAGACGTCAACTAACTGACGCTTTTGACCATACGTCAACATCCGCCGTTTTAGGGTACCATTTAACGTCGTTAGATGACTCTATGTAATCCTAACCCTACCCGCATCATCTAACTGATGTTAAAGCTAAAGCGTCAGTTGGATGACGCCCCAGGATCGTCATGTAACTGACGTTAAAGGGTACCCTAAAACGGCGGATGTTGACGTATGACGCCTTGGGACGTCTTTTGACCATACTGTACGTCAACATCCGCCTTTTTAGGGTACCCTTAAACGTCGGTTAGTTGACGATCCCGGGCCGTCATACAACTGACGCTTTACCTTTAACGTCAGTTAGGTGACAGGGTAGGTTTAGGGGTAGGTTTAGGCAGGCACCCTAAGGGATTGAAACTTGACGGCCCAGAAACTCAACGAAGAAAATGTTTAAATATTCCATGTGACTACAGTGGCTCAACTAAAAGTTTATCAAGTGACAAGAACGAGAGTTCAAGAGATTTTCATAATGCATGCACGAGAATTGCGCAAGAAGTAGTAGAAAAATAACGTAGTTTTCGCGCATGCATCGTGGAAATCTCTTGAACTCTCGTCTCAGGCCCAGAGTAAAGAATAAAGTCATTATTTTTGTTGTTTTATCTGCACAAAAAGTATTCTCGTCGCTTGATAAACTTATAGTTGAGCCACTGTAGTCACATGGAATATTTTAACATTTTCTTCGATGACTTTCTGGGCCGTCAAGTTTCAATCCCTTAGGGTGCCTATGTGGTAGTGATACAACGCTCAAATTTAATAAAAAATATCTTCATTTGTGATCCGATGACGAACAAAGGTCTTACGGGGTTGGTACAGCATGGGGTGAGTAATTAATGACTTAATTTAAATTTTTGGGTGAACTATCCCTTTAATGTAATATTAACAAAATTCTTGACATTGGCTGTTGCGTGTTCTTGAGACTCTATTAGCGCTGGAGTCTCACCCAGAAAAAGCACACAATTTGTGATGAATCAGGATTAACAAAAACTTGGCATTCTCTGAGGTGGATATCCATTGTGTTCGTTCAGCACAACATGAAGTTATCGCGTTCACATCTGTCAACTGTCATCAGACAAACAGGTGATATTTGACTCAG